TTCTTCCAGGGAATCAGGAAGGAGTTTGATTCCCAGCAGCCACCTCAGGCACAATAGCCTCTGGGGCTCCAGGGTATCCAACGGCCCCTCTGGCCCCAACTCATATACACAAGCCCACATAAACACATAATTTAAAATAACATAATAAAAATTTGTTAAGACAACTGGCAGAACTACTGTACTCTATGACTTTATACTACCTACAAGTGCTTCGTGTGCCCGTTTAAAAGAAAAAAAGCATCTAACAATCACATGTCCTTTTTAAAAACTATTTTATGATTTACTTTTATGTGTGTGAGTGTTGTGCCTGCATGTATGTCTGTGCACTACTTGTTTGCAGTGTCTGAGGAGACCAGAAGAGGACATGGGATTCCCTGGGGCTGGAGTAACAGCTGTGAGTGACCAGGTGGATGCTGAGAACTGAACCTCTAAAAAGAAGTGTTCTTCCACTGATCCACTCGCCTGCTTCCTGAAGTTTTCCTTTCATTTTTCTGTCACAATTTCACATGAAAAAGGAATTAAGAAAAAGTAGGCTAGCTTAAATTATACCTTTAAAACCACGTAAAAGAGGAATGAATTAAAAGGAAAAATTAGAATGGCTTAAATTATACTTTTAAAAACCAAAGCAATTATAGAAAAAACTAGATACCACTTTTCTTAAGATAAAAAAAAAAAATGGAAGGAATCTATTAGTAAATCTAAATATAAAATGACATTTTATGATTATGTTACTCTACATTTTACCACACAAGTCTTATTTCAGTCCAAACTGCTTAAGTTATTTTTTATTGTTATTTTCTTTCTTTCTAATAAGAAAGCATCAAGAATTTATTTAAAAAGTATTAGATAGACTCACCTTTCTGTTAAATAAACATTTTCTTCAATGAGATCAAAGTAGCAGGGCATCTTCCCCAGCTTGGCAAATTCTTTCCACCGCTGTGGGTCCCTGAAATCATCCATAGCACAAGAGGGCCCCATCAGCTCCGAGTGCAGGGGCACTGATGTCTCTCCTGGTTCACTCTCCACTCTGACTTTCTTTCTAGCCTGCAGCTCCCCATCACTTTCAGAATCACTCTCTAATTCTTGCCTCCGTTTTTTAGGAGGTCCTCTCTCTTTTATATCATTTTTTTCAAAATTTTTTGAAAAATCTTTCCTTTCATTCATAACTAAAGAGTCCTTAATTGAATTGCTGCTTATTTCGGGTGCTTGCACTGATCCCTTGTCCTTTTGATGGAAGAAAAATTTATTGGACTGGCTTGAAAATTGTGATCCACTTCGTTGATCCCAATTCTCCTCTTCTTCCCGATCATCTGTTAAAGAATCTGGTACCTGCCCCTGAATTCGATCATAAGCAACCCCAGTTCCTGGAGGTCTGCCTGCTGATCTTGGATCCCAATAGCCATTGCCTTGCCAGTAACTGTGGGTCCCTCCAAAATGTTCAGCACTTTGTTGATGCCTGTGTGTACCACAGGCTCCATAACTGCTGTCAGGTTGCTGGTATGTGGTAGTGGGCCTTTCTTGTTGGGAGAAGTCCCATCCTAGGTTTCTGAGCTCTTCTGATGAGTGCAAGCCATCTATATGGGAAATGTCACAAGAGGAAGAAAAGTTTAGCTCTGTTTTTCCTAGTCTACTACTATCTGGTCTGTTAGAGAAAATTATCTGTTGCCGAGACTTATTTGGGATATCTTCAAAATCATCAGAAGAGTAAACTGGTAGCTCTTGAGACCTAGATGTTTTGGTTCTTACTGTGTCCTCTGAATTCAGGTGACCTAGAGGGTCAGATTTCAAGTCTGTATGACTTGTACTATCAACCCCATCACTCTGAGAATGAGCAATTTCAGGCAGGTGATTATCTACTTTTCTGCTGAACTGTGAATAAGAAGTTTCTGGGTTCCTCTCTGTTCCTTTATGAAGGAAGAATTTTTCAGTCTGAGGACAGCTTTTACTTGCCATACCATCAAACTTATCCTCATACGCATGTCTCCTTGATTCTAATCTTTCCTCTTCCCAGTGGTCAGAGTAATGTCGGTAGCTATGACTGCTCCGAGAAGAACAGGGACTTGTCTCTTCCATGGGCAAAGTAGAATTCTTTGGCACAACCACAACAGACTGGAGACGGTTTCTTGGAATACTGCTGTCATCAGACTCTGTATCTTCTGAATCACTTTCGTCACTTGAACTTCCAGAAGATCCAGAATAATCTTCATGGATAGTAGATATAATTTCAGGAGCATTACCACTACTGTCACATTTTAAGGTGTAAGTTATACCGTCACTGTCCTCCATGGTTAAATTCAAATCGTAAGAAAATACAACCTCTGAGTCATCAGAAGTATGTGTATGCCCTCTTCCCTCCTCATCTAAGATTTCTGGTCTTCCTCTTCTTTCATGCAATATGGAATTCTCCTCTTCTTGAGCCTCTTGCAAAGACTGCCCAGATAATACATTATTATGCCGGTTTTCCCAAGAAGCAAATCCCTTTCCTGAATCAGGAAGGGCACTACCCACTTCTGTTTCTTTCCCTGCATACTTTAAGAACTCTGTGCTTCTTTTACTCTGCACTGCATCTAGAACTGGAGATGTATTCCCTTCACATTTTATTCCTGGTGGAAGACTCTGAAGAGATGAAATAATACCTGAACTCCCTACAGACCCATACAAATCATCAAAATGATTAAGTGAAGCTGAACTAGTGCTACCAATGCTCTGCTTATATTCATCACATGCAAATTTTGAGTGCTGATCTGTCGGCTCTCTATTATCACATATAACTGGTTTTGATTCCAAATGCACATTCATAAAGCTATTTGAAGAAATCTTCATAACTGAAGGTTCAATATTTTCAGCTTCAGAGTTCTCATTTGGAGAACAGTATCTATCTGAATCTTTGGTTTTGCAGCAGGAACGTCTCTTATCAACTGGTTCTTTAATTAATGTTTTGGAATAATCTATAGTCTTAACTGGCAAAGACATGAGTTTGTCATGGTGTGGTGACAACAGAGGTTCTGTTTCCCTAAATGGACTTTTTGACTTATTATGCTGTCTATAGGAATCATCTGAGTCCTTTTCTTTGCATCTACCAATATTCTGAAATCCATTTGATGAAAGTATGCAAGCCTTGACCAAAGGAGATATCTCTGATCCAGTCACACTATCATCTGAAGTCATTGAAATAGCATCTGTTTTAGTAGCACAAAATGTTGCCATATCGGATTCTGTCTCTGGAGATCCATTTATATTTAATTCAATAGAACAAAAACCTCTTAACTGATCATTTTTCACTTTTGATAATGACTCCAATTCTTTAATACTATCATGGCTATCATGTCCTATAAATTCAGGCTTAAGAACAGGAGATTCATCTAGCTTTTTAAAAGTAGGTGAATCATTTAATTGATTTGATGGAGATGGAGACCCAGTCTTTTCTCTTTCAGGAATTTTATTAATTGTTCTTAATTCACTACCTTTTGAACAAGGAGTCTGCAAACTAAAAGAATGAGATTGTTTACTTTCCTCATTTAATTCTGTACAACAGAAAGAATTTTTAAATTTATCAGACTTGGATACAGGTTTTGAAAGGGCAGATTTGTAACGGGAAGCACTGTTATCATGCTTGGAATAGGAGGACCCCCGTCGGAATCCCAGTTCAGTCGGGGGAGAACAACATCTTTTTATGGCTTCATGCTCTGAAGTCCGCTTGGATTCTCTTTCTGGTTTTGAAGAATACTTTCCTCTTCTCTCCATCTCTAAGTAAGAAGTCTCAGTTTTACAGTCCCGATCAAATTTAGAGTAAGATGATGATGTCCTTAGGTCTCGGTAGGAATGGGATGAGGTGCGCCTTGCATATGTCTTCTTATATTCATCTTCAGAGTCTGAGCTCTCCCGTGTCCTGTTATCTGTATAGGGCCGAGAATAGCGTGTCCTTTCACGGTAAGGGGAACTCCTATGGTAGCGCCGATCAGAATCGTAATAATGAGATCGCTCTGCCCGAGAATAAGACAAACTAGTTCTAGAGACTCTGTCAGATCTAGAACGAGATCGGCTCCGCCTTCTGTCCCTTTCGGACCTACATCGGGAAGATACATACCGAGTATCTCTTTCAAGTTTTGAGTAGCTAAAGTATTTATCATCTCTCTCTGTTTTAGATCGCGATGATTTCCCCAAATCCTCACTTTTTGAAGGTACTGAGCTCTTTTTAAAATCTCTTTCCTTCTCAATGCTTGTTGAAGATTTTAAGTCATGTGATCTTTGACTGGAGGAAGTCCGTACAGAATCTTCATCAGATTCTGAACCAAGCAATGTGCCTTCAAATTGTGAAGATTTCTTCTTAGAACTTGCTTTTTTAGAACTGAGGCTTATCTTAGAACCATCAGAAACTTCTTCTTCCTTCCCAATATGGGAATCTTCTCTTTGCAGGGGATTATCTGCTTGTTCTTTCAAAGTTTGAACTGTGTGTTCTTCCAAACTATTAGATACAATATCCTGCTTCCTATCCACCTCTAAGGATTCGGGCACACTTTTAACAGGCGATTCTTTCGGAGCTCTATCCACTGGTAAGGGTACTGGTGCAGTCATTAGTACTGTTACTGGGGGATGTGGTAAGACCACTGGCTCTGATATTGGTGCTGGTGGTGAGGGTGATGTGGCTTGGGGAGGTGGAGGAGGTGGAGGTGGCGATGAAGGTGGTGAATCTATACTGGATTCTGCTATGACCGCTGGTAACTGTGTTGGAGGAGGAGGGGGAGATGCTACTGCTGTAGTTGTAGCCGGCTGTGGCCTGGATGTCACATGAAGCAGATGTTTCTTAAAATGAATTCTACCCAACTCCACTCTTGACTTTGGTGGGGAAGACTCTTCTGTAGCAGGAAAAGTATCTCCTGGGTCCATTTTCACTTTAGGGTTTGAGTCTACTGGAAGAGGGTTAGCTGGTGAGTTTGGAGAATCGCTCTGCTTTTCATTGCTAAGTGCAGTGAGAAACCTGTTCTGTAAAGTTTTCTTTGTAAGACTGAAGCTGAATGACACCTTCTGCCGTCCTTGTTCCTCCAAATTAACTTTTGTCTTCGTGCCTTTGGGCAAAAATCGGCTAGAAGCAACACCTTTGAACATTGGTCCTTTGATGAAACCTGTTTTCTGCACATTTTCAATCTTTGCCTACAAAAGAACAAAACAATTAAAGTAATAAAGGCTTTCTTTCAAATTGTGAATATCACAAATTGTCAATATCAAAATTTTAAATGTTTATCAGAGAATTTTTTTAAAATTATTAACAGTAGTATAACTTTCACTATGCTACAAATGGAATTTAGCTTTTCATTATAAAACATTTAGGCATAATCAAAAGTATAAATAACAAATCACTAAGTTTTAACAATTATCTATTTTTTTCCACTTAATCCTACATTAAAGAATTCTATCCATGTTGGCACTATTTTCTAGATACTTAGTCCTTTTTTTTCTTTTCTTTTTTTTTTTTGGTGGGGGTAGCTTTTTTTGTTTTGTTATTGTTTTAAGTGTTGATTTTTGTTTTTTAGTTTTTTTTGTTTTGGTGTTGCTTTTTTGGATTTTGGTTTTGAGGCCGAATCTCACTATGTAGCCCAGGTTTTCTTTGAACTCATATTAATCCTCATGCTTCTACCTCCCCAGTGCTGGGATTACAACCATACACTACCATGCTTCAGCTCAAGCAGAATTTAAACAAGTATATTTTTAACCTGATATGTAGATGACATTTATATACATGGCAATAAATAACACCTCAGTCGACAAAATAGTTTGTTCTTATGTTTTACTTATCTAAGAAACACCAAAGATCAAATAAACCAAGGGTCTCCTGCCATCACACAGAATCCGCAGAGTACAGGGCAAAATACATGAGCCACACTGGGGAATATTAAATCAATAGCTCTAAAATGAAGCAAAAAAGTTTGTTTGGAGTATTTTTATTTTTGTTTTAAGGCAGGGATCAACAAGCACCAGGCAATTTTAATGACCTTCCCTGGTACAAAGTAGCCTCTTACCACATACATTTTACTGATAAAGTAGCCCAAAAAGGGCCAGGCCTTCTGCTGTACTAGAAATTACTCTGCCTTAGCACACTACCCCTCTCTCTGCCTGACTACACACACGTCAGTAATAATAACTCATTCTCTAATATTACCATGTGAACAAGCTACAGCTAAGACGCTCTTCTCCATTATCTGACCAGGTATCTGACAAACCACCAATGGAAATGTTGGGAGTCAGAAGCTGAAGGAATAACCTAGGTTGTTGAAAGAATAACAGAAAAATCTATAGACACAAACTCAAGCATATAAATATATGTTGAGACAGGGTCTCTCCATGTAACCCAGGCAGGCCAGGAACTCAGTCAGATAAGTTTGCTTCTGCCTTCCAGCACTGAAAGTGTGCACCACCACACCCAGGCCTCAAGCCTATATTAAAAACTAATATCAGGGGCTGGAGAGATGGCTCAGAGGTTAAGAGCACCGACTGCTCTTCCAGAGGTCCTGAGTTCAATTCCCAGCAACCACATGATGGCTCACAACCATCTGTAATGAGATCTGGCACCCCTTCTGGCGCACAGGGATACATGCAGACAGAACACTGTATACGTAATAAATGAATAAATCTTAAAACAACAACAACAACAAAAAACATGTCAGGCATGTTTGTGGTGGTATTCTAATTGTACTGAAATGTGATTTTGATTGTATGTTAATAAATAAAGTTGCCCGGGGGTCAGAGCTATTAGAGCCATAACAAGAGTGTGGCGGTGGTGGCACACGCCTTTAATTCCAGCACTTGGTAGAAGAGCTAGGTAGATCTCTGTGTGTTCAGGGATACAGCCAGCATTGGAAACATACGCCTTTAAGACCTGGGGGGCTGTACATACAGGCAGTGATGAAGCAGTCACGTGTTTGGGTTTACAACCAATGAGAAAGCAGAACAAAAAGACTATGAAAAGACATACACACAGGAAGTAGCTCTCTTTAGGAGCTAGGACCACCGCAGGAGGAAGGGTGAGATCTTAGCTCTGAGCTCTTTTACATTGGTTCTGTGTTTCTTATTTAATAAGACGGTTGGTTACATCTACACGTGTTCCAAAGCTAGATGCAGTGGCACATGCCTTTGGTCCCAGAACTCTAGAGGAGGAGGAGGAGGAGGCAGGCAAATCCCTGAGTTTGAGACCAGGCTGGTATACAGAGCAAGTTCCAGGACAGCCAAAGCTAAATAGAGAAACTCTGTCTTAAAAAAAAACAAAAAAAGGCCAGGCGGTGGTGGCGCACACCTTTAATCCCAGCACTCAGGAGGCAGAGCCAGGTGGATCTCTGAGAGTTCAAGGCCAGCCTGGTCTATAAAGTGAGTTCCAGGAAAGGTGCAAAGTTACAGAGAAACCCTGTCTCGGAAAAAAAAAAAAAGAAATAAGAAAAAGTATACAGTAACTTCAAGTGAGGAAATAAAAGTTTTTATATTATATACACGTAGTATATTATTCATATAGCAGTAGTTTTCAAATATTTAAGAAACAGAATCTACTTTTCAAATTAAATTTTACATGGAAACTTACTAGAAACAGATAAAAAAACTGTTTCTGGAATTGCTAGTTTCTGTTACCTTTCTAAATTTCTTGAATCTTTTAAGTTTAAAATTATTTTCTTGTTATATACACTATTCCTCACTGGAATGAGTTATTATAACTTCAAAAAGTAAAATTGAGCAAAACTACTAATTTCATTTCACAAAATAGTTAACTTTAAATATTTTCAGCTTTTATCTAGATTCTAAAAATGCACCTTTTAAAAGGCCATTTCTTGAATAACTAGTTCAATTATACTTACCTCATTTTCTTCTTCTCTATTCCCATTCAGCCAAGAAAACATGCAAAAGAATAAAAAGGATCATAAATACTTAAAACAAAATGAAACTTTGCACTAAAACAGACACTTACACACCTTTGCTTCTTTCCTTGCCCTACTGACAGTTTTGTAACACCTTTTTCCTGCAGACAGTGCAAACCACTAGCTAGGTACTGGAGAGCAAGAGTGGGTGAAGCAGGATCTCTGACCTTGAAGGTTACATTTTCTAATAAGTAACAAAGTGATTGTTACAAAAGTAATTCCAACCAGAGGAGTAACAATAAGGACTGAAATATATACAATGTGGCAGTAAAGTGGGCAACAACTCAGTTAAAACAAAAACAAAACAAAAACAGGAATGCAAAGAATCCCAAAAAGGGGATTAGTTTTTCAAGAATGTACTTTTGGAGTGACCCAAGGCAAAAGGCAAAGATTAAAACAGAACAGCTCCTACAAATAAACTAAAAACTATTCACTATTACCTAAGTATAAGGTATAAGGTAGAAAAAGTCGACAATTAAATGGAATAAGGAGCAGTGAGCATGTTTCTGACAAAGAATCACATATTTATGCATGGATAGGTGGGTCCTAATTTCTTTTTTTTTTTTTATTTAGAAACTATTCATCAGTCCCTTTGCTAAACACACAATATATACTGTGCTCCGCATCACAGTGCCACTACGTTATAGATCTCAGCACCTAGTATTCTAACAAAGATACAGATTCCTACGAAGAATCAAATACCAAGTCTGCCATGCACCACTACTGCACCAAGGTATACTGGGGACGATCTACGTGGGAAAAGGACAGTTACAAAAGGGTACGATGACAACAAGCATGTTGCTTTGTGGACTATATGGCAAGCAAAACTCAAGCACAACTACATGCTTTAAGCGCTCCTTAAAAGAAATGTACAAAAATCCCCTCCAAATGAAGGTCTAAATAGAAACTCAGTTGATTCATTAACAAGCATCTATGGAAGTTAGAACAAAGCAATGGCTAGTTGTGATAAAAAAAATGCTGGCCATCTAAGCTACGAAGCTTTAGAACGAAGCACACTGAGGCAAAAGGAATTCAAGTTCAAGGACCACAAGGGCTACATAGTTTTAAGGCCATCTGCACAACTTAGTAGACCCTGCCTCAAAATAAAAAGATGAAAAGGTCTGAGAAGGAGCAAGCATAGTGCTGCATGTTTTATGATCCAATACTTGAGAAATAGAAGCAGGACATCATAATTAGCTGGAGGCCAACAAGGGCTACATGGGTTCTGCCTCAAAACAGAACAACTGAGCCAGGTAGTGGTGGCGCACACCTTTAATCCCAGCACTCCGGAGGCAGAGCCAGGCGGATCTCTGTGAGTTCGAGGCCAGCCTGGGCTACCAAGTGAGTTCCAGGAAAGGCGCAAAGCTACACAGAGACACTGTCTCGAGGGAAAAAAAAAACAACACAGAACTGAGGTTATCGGGTCAGTGCTTGGCCCCCAGGTTCAGTTCCCACAAAAGACAGAATACTACATACCACAAAAGACAAAAAATTAAAAAATGTAATAAAGATACATTGATAAGATGGCCAGGTGGCGGTGGTGGGGAACACAAGCAAAAACGACTCATACTGGAGAGAGGGCTCAGCAGTTGAGAGCATTTGTTGCTCTTCCAGAGGACCCAGGTTCAGCTCCCAGCACACACATGGCAGCTCACAACCATGCTCCAGTTCTAGGGAATTCACACCCTCTTCAGTCCTCCATGAGCACCAAGAATGTAAGTGGTACACACACATACACATAAAATACATACAACTAAGAAAGAAAAAAGTAAAAGAAAAAAAAAATAGCCAGCTGTGGATATTGATGCCCCAAACCTTTCATCCCAGCACTCAGAGACAAACTGAGCTGTGCAAATTTGCAGACCAGCTTGGTCTATGTAACAACCTTCAGGCCAG